TTACCAAAAAATAGTCAAGTGGTTTTAATTAGGTTTCTTACTCCATGTGTACTACTGCTTGAAATAACCAGGCTGTGCTACAGATGTTAATGGTTGCCAGCATCGTATGGAATAATTCACAGATGCAAGGTGAAAAGAATTTGCACACTATTACATTTTTTTTCTGCCTTAAACAGAGAACAAAGTCTTTGTGTAGAATAAGCCATTGTTATGAGAAATTTAATTTTGAAAAAGAGCAGTTGTGTCATGAAAAGATTTTGTCTTTGTCTTTTCTGAACAAAGATCTCAATCTATTTCTTCTGTTAGTTAATATGATTGATATCAGATTAATAAAATAAGAAATTTAGCACAGGAAATTATGCAGTGAGGAGATTAAAATACAGACATTAATTCCATTTTTATTTCTCTCAGTGGTAACTGGTTTTATTATATATTCTGTGGCTGAATCTTTCTGTAGACATACTTAAGATGGTAGAAAGTAAAAATATGATTTGTGACCTTTTAATAGTATATTAGTGTCACTTCCATCAGACAGTGACTTTTTATCATCTATGTCATTAAGTTACTTTAATTTTGAATAATTTCTCATAATTAAACACACACACACACATATATATATATGTATATAATATGCAAATGAGGTTGGAATTCCATAACGGTCACGACCAGGGCCCTGAGCCTGAGAGAACAACACGCAGGTGCGGCCCCCTGAGAGATCAACACAGGAGACACCTGCTCCAAGCCTCCACAGCACAGCTGGGAGCAGGCCTCCAGCAGACACACACACACACACACACACACACACACACACACACACACACGGCGCCTGTTCCAAGCCTCCCTGGCGCAGCTGGGGGCAGACCCCCAGCGGGGACACACACACACGGGGCGCCTGCTCTGAGCCTCTGTCCCCAACCCCCAGTGCATGAATTTTGTACACTGGGCCTCTGGTATAATTATATCCAAATTATTGTAAAGAAAATGTGTTTTTAAAACCTTTTATAGAGGATTTCAGTTTTGTTTTTGACAATATTATATAATCTAATAAAAGAGAAACATGGTAATTGGCGTACGACCACTACTCTTCCCATTGGCTAATCAGGGAGATACGCAAATTAACTGCCAGCCAGCTTGAAACTAACATGAGGCTTGCTTGCTTCAGTGACGGAGGAAACCAACATTCCCCGCCTGCCTTGCAGGCCTCTGAGCCTGCAGTTTGAAACATTTTAAC